CCCCTAACTAGAACCACGGTCTATAAGACCCTTCGGGAGAGAGGGGGGGAGCCAGGGACGGCGTGACGCGCGTGACCCAGTGGCCCCGCCTTACTCACCCGCTGTCGCCATCTTCCTTCGCTACGCGCCCGTTAGCGAAAAATATTTACGCACGTCTTTGTTGAGCCACCCTCCCTCCCCCCGCCCGCCCGCCTGTCTCCACACGCGACACCACACGCACCATGCACACGCACAAGCACACACACACACACACGACACTACACACGACACACACACACGCGCGCACGGCGCGGAGCCGCACGCGCTACGCGGCAAGCGCACACCGCACACGCACACGCACACGGCACACCCCCGCCACCACACACACACACGCACACACACACCACGCACACAACACGTCACCACTCGCCGGGAGGGGGGGTCGGGGGAGTCAATCACAGCATAGTGAGTAAGCGTGCTTGCTTTGCGCTAACAGCATGCAAAGCGGTATGTGAATGCAGGGATGACCTTCTCTACACGGAAGCAGCCGGTGAAGGGGGGCCGTCTGTCGTTAGTCGGCAGAGAGGAGGAGAAGAATGGGAGAGAGGGGTGGAGGTCGGGAGCTGGACAGGAGGCGACTTAGAGAAAGAGAGAGAGAGAGAGACAGAGAGAGAAGAGGACAGACAGACGGACAGAGAGAGAAAGAGAGAGAGAGAGAGAGAGAGAGAGGAAAGAGACAGAGAGAGAGAGAGAGAGACGAGAGAGCAGAGCAGAGAGACAGGACAGACAGACGCGAGAGAGAGAGAGAGAGAGAGAGAGAGAGAGAGAGAGCGAGAGAGAGAGAGAGCAGAGAGAGAGAGAGAGACGAGGAGTGGCATTTTACGCGCCGGTGTGTCGGATCATAAGCTATAGGAATGTTGATAAATGACGGTATCATCACGCCATCGTGTTCTGCTCTCAGTCGTTTATTACAATTGCCTTACATGTAGTCACTAGTCATATAGTCTATACATACTATATACATCTTAGTCACGAAAGCAGTTGTTTTGTATCACACCTCTACCAAGCCGATGCACGCTGCCTATATATATATATATATCTATATCATATATATATATATATATATATATATATTATAATATATATAAGCCTTTTATAGCCTGATGAAGAGAGTAATTTCTCAAAAGCTTGCTGATTAAACATTAAACATCACATATTCATTTTCTACATATATTATATATATATAACTGTATTTATATTATAGGCCTATATACGCCTTAGCGATGGCGGCATATTTTATTATGAGAGAGTGGCCGTGGAGAGAATACCGGCAAAGATCCGCGAAAAAATTTTATTGGGACGGCGGAAGGAATTTCGCTAACGGCGAGCAGACAGCCGCGTTCGCTCGCTGACGTTCAACTATATACGTGCTCTTCCGTAAAACAACAGACCGTCTCTTCCCTAACAACAGAAATCGCGACCTTTCGCAGTCTCTGACCGCATGCACGCGCGCACGCGTGCGTGCGAGCGTTACCGTACCGTGTATATCGGTGGTGGTACGTGGGTCTGTGCGCGTGCACGCGTGCCCGTGCGCGCGTGGGCGAGGATGCGCGCGGTATTGTGCGTGCATGTCCTCCGTGCGTGCGTACATGCATATGCGTGTATGCACACCTGCGTGCGTTCGTGCATGTCGCGTGATAAGTGCGCGTGCGTGCAGGGGCGGCCTCGATGCATCTTGCGTGCGTACACACATCCTGCGCGCATGCGTGATGTGCGTGCCGTGTTCGTGCGTGCGTGCGTGCGTGCGTGCGCGTCGGCGTGCATCATCGCAATGTTTCAGCTGCGTCACCGGGCGCTCGGAAGAGCTTTAACCTTTACGCACGAGATAATGTGTTTTAAAACAGAGCGTCCCCCGAGGGCAGCAGCAGCAGCATCACCAGCAGGGCAGGCAGCAGCATCAGCAGCATCACCAAGCAGGCAGGCAGCAGCAGCCAGGCCAGCAGCAGCAGCAGCAGCAGCAGCAGCAGCAGCATCACCACCACCACCACCACCACCACCACAGCAGCAGCAGCAGCATCATCACCCACCACCACCAACCAGCAGCAGCAGCAGCAGCATCATCATCACACACCACCACAAACCAGCAGCAGCAGGACATCACCACCACCACCACCACCACCAACCACAGCAGCAGAATACACACCACCATGACCACCACCAGCAGCAGCAGCAGCATCATCACCACCACCACCACACTTAACACCACCACCACCACCACCACCAGCAGCAGCAGCAGGAGGCAGGCGTGTGTATATCTACAAGCTCGCCATCAACACCGTTAGGCTCTAGCAATGGTAACTATATGATCACCAAGCGTCAGCTGCCGGAGTTTATGGACTGTACGCAAGCACCGCACGCACGCACGCCACGCACGCCACGCACGCACGCAGGCAAGATGCATCGAGGGGCCGCCCTCGTGTGTTAGCAGCTTCTGCCGACACACACACACACAGCACACACACACACACACACACACACACACACACACACACACACACACACACACACACACAGCGAGAGCTCACTGCGCCTAGTCCGTGACTGTGTGCGTGCGTACGTACCAAGCTGTAAGGGATGCTACAGACGCTGTCTAGAATTCTAATGCCAGCAAACAGCATTTACTGAGCTCTCTCTGATTGTAGGGGATGCTAGACCCTGATCAGGGTTCTGATCCCAGCAAACAGCAATGAAAACTAAATTAAACTGATCAACATCAGTAATGAGCATTGTTTCAACAAGGTCGATGTAAACACTCAAGCTTTTGTTTTATTTTGTTTTGTTTCATTTGGAATGTTTGCGGGAATTAATTAAAATATGATATGCATATCATAATTGTTATATATTATTTAGTAAACCAAGAAAAAGTTAACTACTCAGGTTTTATATATTATATAATATTTCTTATCTTGTATTTTTGTCATCATGTTGTTATTTCGTAATCTACTGGAGTGGCCGACTGGAAGACTGAGTTGTCGTTTCGCCCCTCCATCACTTCTATCTATTTAGTTTCATTACCTCCGCCAGGGGCATGGCGGGGGTTATGTTTTCACCGGCGAGTTTTTGAGTGTTGGTTTGTGTGTTTGTGTGTGTTACCATGCACGTTTCGGTTCACTTCCTCTAGGTGCGCTAGCTGTAGACTTACAAACACGCAACCACAGGCTAAGGGGCAACCACAGTCCTTCCCCACCTGCACGCTCGCACTAATCCGGATCCAATTAATTATTTAATTAATTAATTAATTAATTAATTTTTCCACTTAATTAATTAATTAATTAATTAAAAAATTCACATTGAGAGAATTCAGCTGCCTTGGCGGAGGTCTGTGCTCTCCGAGTGCTCTAGTTATTATTAGTATTATTATTATTATTATCATCATTATACTCTTTACTTTATATATAAATATATATAAAGAGCGAGAGAGCGAGAAAGTGGGACAGGGTAAAATGTGTTTTTAGCAAGACGATATTTGCGGCCCAGTGTAAACGCATAGTACTGAAGCGTTTAACTGTCTTTTGCAGCAAGAGATGGCGCTGTTGGGAGCGTTGATCGTCAGCGCATCCGACGAAGGCCATATTCCGATTGCGTGAGTGTTTACACAAGTCAAGTACACGTTCGAATATCATAATTCTATCTATTGTTATATTTATCAGTTTGATATATTTATTGCCCCTAACCGGGAGAGAAAAAGAGAGAGTGTGTGCCAGAAGGAGAAAGGGTGAGGTAGAGAGCGTGTGTGAGAGACAGAAAAGAAGGGCGAGAGCGAGAAAGAGGGGAAAGGAGAGCAAGAGAGAGAAGTGAGAGGTGTGTTTGTGCGTGTGTGTGAGTGCGTGCGCGTGTGCGCGCGTGCGTGCGTGCGCGTGCGTGCGTGCGTGCATGTGCGTGCGAGTGTGCGTGAGTATGCGTGCGTGCGCGTGTGCGTGAGAGGGCGGAGGAGAGAGAGAGAGAGAGAGTTGACGCGACATACACATTCACTGAGAGTGACGCTGTGTGCGTGTGTCAGTCGGAGAAATACGTGCGCGCCATCGTTGACTACAGCACGAGTGAGCCGACCCTGCTCAGCTTCAGGAAGGGTGACGTCATCCGCGTCACGCAGGAGAAGAACCAATACCTCGACAGAGGTGCGACGCCAGTAGTGGCGATGTTATTACCTCGCGCGCACAGTGTCGTGACGTCATCGAAAAGCGATTACGTAACGAATTTGTTTTGCGTGATGAAATCTTATCGAGTCGGTGCCACTATTTGCTTTCGCGCATATTTGTTTGTTGATGTCTGCTGAGGAGGCATTAAAAAGGTTAAGACGGAATTTAATTTAATTTAGCAAGGATAATTTCTATGTTTCGTAACACGAATGGCTGGTGTCTCTCGATAGCTGTGTTTTGTTGTCGATATTGCTGTGATATTGCTGTGATGTTGCTGTGATGTTGCTGTGACGTTGCTGTGACGTTGCTGTGATATTGCTGTGATGTTACTGTGATGTTGCTGTGATATTGCTGTTATGTTGCTGTGATATTGCTGTGATTTTTGCTGTGATGTGCTACGAGTGATATTTGCCTGATGATTTTTGTGGAGTGTTCCAATTTCAATGCATGTTTTCAGTTATATAAAAAAGCAAAACAAACTTTTACGACTGCTAAATATCGAAACACGTCGCAGCGTCGTGAAACTTACTGAAGAGAACTTATATACTAGAAAATACATACTGATGCCGGACGCGCATGAACTACTTTTTTGTTACCGCGCATTTATACACGGTTGCGTGATTCGGCTTTCGCTTCAGGTTGGTTGTACGGAAACGTCGACGGTCGCTACGGGATGTTCCCGATGGAATACGTCGAGCCACTGCGACGCAACGACGGTTACCATGAAGACGCTCGACTCGAGCGGATGGTCGAGGTCAACCAAAATGGCCGCCTGCCGCAGCAGCACGCGCGCCACGAGCGGTTGGAGTCTCGACATGACAACATAGTGGAGAGCAAACAGGTGCTGCAGTCGCGTCAGCAGCAACAACAGCAGCAGACGAACAACCAGCACCTGACGAAATACAGAGAGGACCATCAACAGGTAAGCGTTTATTGGTTCAAATCTCACTCCAAGTCCGACCTAGTGCAATTAGATTATAGACCATTCATTCGTTAATAGTGTAGAGGGAATCAAATTACATGCTACTAATATATTTTAATAAATATCTTGTATCATAATATATTTTATTATTTATGTCTGCAGAGGGGACAGTGGCAGGATGTCAATAAGAGTCAGTACGCGCGTGAACATGCCATTATGCTGCAGCAACAGCAGCAGCAGCAGGTCGGATGGGTACGTAGCGAGCGCCCTCTATACAGTTTTTTTCTGACATGATTACCTGTTATGTTCTGATTTTATTGTAATATCAGGCAATTCTAACTGCTAATACTACTGCTTCTACTACTATTGCTATCTGATACTATCATTCTATTAATGTAATTTCACTGCATTATAATATAATAATAATAAGCCTACTACTAATACTAATAATAATAATAAATGTTATTTAGAATGTTTTACGACTAATAAATAATTCTGATTACGACATTCGCTCCGAGTTTACGTAAAAAGACCCACTGAACAATTCGGTTACATTGGGTCGGAAAATATGTTCCGATAAGCAGTTTCCGTGAAGGCATCCTGGGAATGTTCCTTTTATTTACCGCGTGTTGTCGGCTTTGATATTGCAGCAATCTCACGAGTTCCCGGATGAGACCGACTTCGACATCACAGCTCTTAGCGACGGAAAATTCTCCATGATGGAATTCGCTATCCTCAACTTCCGGCAGTCCCTAGAGAAGTGAGATTTCAGTTCGTCAGCTGCTAATATAGTCATTCGTATATTCATCTATTAAGTTCTTCACTCATTCATTCATTCATTTATTCGTTTATTCATTTATTCATTTATTCATTCATTTATTCATTCATTCATTCATTCATTCGCTAATTCGTTCATTCATTCATTCATTTATTCGCTAATTTGTTCATTCATTCATTCATTCATTTATTCACTAATTCATTCATTCATTCATTCACTCACTCACTCATTCGTTCATTCATTTATTCACTCATTCATTCATTCATTCATTCACTCACTCATTCATTCATTTATATATCCATTCTTGTTAGCCACACGACATGGCTGACAATATTGGATCTGATTGCGAGCTATGGTGCCTTGAGTTATATGCGACTAGAAGTAATCGAATCACATATTAGCTTCTTAGATATTATTATATTATTATTATATTATTTCATTATTTATGAATCTAACCCGATCTGATTCTCTGCTAGGTACGCAGTACTGCAATCTCAACAAGGAAACATAAAGGACTCAATCAAAATCATCGAAAGTCTAAAAGGTTAGATTTACGAGTTTAACTACTAATTAATCGTGGAAATAATTATGGAATCTGCATATTTATTTAGTTACATTAACAGTCTAACGATACATGAAAAAAGACTGGCAAACGCGAGGAAAGCACATAGTAGTAGTATTTCAATCCTGGTTATATATGTACAATAATTTTTAATGGTCACTTGTAAAGACTGGGACACACCATGCGAATTTATTCGCACGTCCGCACGACCGCAGCGAAAATATCAAACATGTTTGATCGCTGCGAATTTCGGTGCGGATGAAATTCGCAGCGAAATTCGCCCGCGCTTGAGCGGACACACCATGCGAATTTCATTTTACAATCGCTGCGGGCGTGCGAATAAATTCGCATGGTGTGTTCCCCGCTTAACTAAGGTCACTTGTTGGTTTGTTGGTTAGTTGTAAAAAAACATGTCACTTGTTAACCTTCCACGGCAGACCCATGTCAGCTTATCGGCTGTTATTTTTTTCTCTGTTCTATAGATGGTAAGCAGTGGAACTGGCAGGAGCAGGCCGACATGGTGAAGTACACGAACTCTCCCATACAGAACTCACTGTTGTTCTTCGAAGATGCGGAGTTAAGCGCACTTTCCGTGAAGACGTTCAGAGGTGAGCGCATGTGAACAATTAACACAGAAATACTATTGTGAATATATATTACATCCTGTGTTGTATTGGATTCGTTGTATATGTTTCTCGTTCTATATACCCGCTTTTTCTTTTTTTCCCGCCCTTCTTATATTAGTCGCTTTCACTTTATTTCTCTCACTCCCTCTCTCTTTCTATCTGTCTAACTATCTCTAAGTAATTATTTTCCCATTCTACCTTTCCCAGATATATGCATGTGTAACACATACAAAACATGCGCTTCTTCCACTTGTGTATATGTCACGTTAAGCGTTGACGTGTTGTGTGTGCGTGCGCGGTGTACGTATGTGGTGTGTTTGTGTGTGTGTGTGTGTTGTGTGGTGTTGGTGTGTGTGTGTGTGTGTGTGGTTTTGTGTTCCAGTGCGTGGTGTGTGTGCGCCGTGCGCGTGGCGGTGTGTGTGTGCGCGTGCGCGTGCGCGGTGAGTGTGTGCGTGTTGTGTGTGCGTTTTGTGTGTGGCGCAGCATGCGGCGATGTATTTTACTCAACGCCATATGTGATTTACGTGTTGTAGTTCCTTCATCTGTTCACTGTGTGGCATGTGTCCATGCTTTCAGACATCATGGCAGTACCATGGGCGACCTACCCGCTCGGGAAGGACAGACGGACGTCAACTGGCGTTCACATCCGTGCTAGCTCTGCTGGCATCGCCATGGCCTCGCTCCATCGTAGACAGAGTTTCTTTCTGTCCAATTCCTCAGCAGCTGAACCAACAGCGAAGAGCTGTAAGCGCGTGAGTACGCGTTTACGCCAAATCGTAAATGTTTTCGGCATCGGATGGACGGCCGCGCGCGTACTGCTAGCGATGGTTGTTTAATACAGGCGCTGTGAGAAAAGAGGTGAACGATGTTTTGAAATTACGTAAACGTTTTCATGCCGTAGTGTATATAATACCGTCAAATCTACACACACACGCACACACACGCACGCACCACACACACGCACACGCACGCACCACGCACGCACGCACACTACGCAGACGGAGCGCAAACAAGGAGGAGAGAGCAGAGAAAGCGGAGAGAGAAGAGAGACCCATCTCTCGCTCTCTCTCTCGTCGTCTCGCATACACAGCGCATACACTCACAGCACCAGCCACACGCACACGACCGCACACAAGTAAAAGGCACAAGCATACACGCACACATACACGCTCACAAGTAACACTCACGCAATACACACGTGCACGCACGCACTTACACGACATATAGGCATACTGTACGCGCCACGCACGCACAATATAGGTTTGTACTCACACTACACGCACGCCAGTGTCCTTCTTCCTTAGCTATTCGTCGTATATCTTAACTCCGTGCTGGGTGCTATGGAGGTCCTCGTCTAAACTCGTTCAAACAGTCTCTCTTTCCTCTCTCTTCACCGAAATCCTCATTTATCTTCGCTCTCCCGTCGCGCACCCGATCCTCCATCCCTACATCCGCTACTCTCCATGCACTTCCTTTTTTTACTATCTCATTCCATCATTGTCTCCTTTCCTCACCTCTTCGGTCCAAGTACTTGCAACTCTTATTGTGTATTTATTTAATATTTAACGCATTCTGTTTCTGTGAGACGCCATGGTGGAAGATAGGTCGCGGCACAATTATTGTGTCTGTACCTAACATGTTTTACCGATCGTTAAATAAAGTTTGTACTGTAAGCTTATTTACTGCGGTCCCCCTTCTCTTTCTCCTCCTCTATCCACTCACCTCCTCCATCTGTCCGTTTCCCCTCTTTTCCCCATGACACCTCTCACATATCGCTTGACCCTTCCACGCTCTCTCTGACCCGTTTCCCTCTCTCTTCCACAATACACCCGTCCAACATATGTTTTACCCTTCCCACGTATGCTCGTAACCGTTCGGCCTTTCTCTTTCCCACACACCCTCTGCAACATATCGCTTGACCCTTCACGTATCTCTAACCGTTTCCCCTCTCTCTTCCCCATACACCCTTTCACCATATTGCTTGACCCTTTCCACGCATCTGCTGACCGTTTCCTCCTGCTCTTCCCCGATACCGCTCTCTCACATATCGCTTGGACCCTTCCACTACTCTAACCGTTTCCCTCTCTCTTCCACATACACCTATCACCATCGCTTTGACCCTACCACGTATGCTCTGTCGTTCCCTCTCTCTTCCCCATGACACCCTCTCACATATCGTGTTGACCCTTCCACGTATCTCTAACCGTTTTCCTCTCTCTTCCATACAGCCCTCTCCACATATCGGCTTGACCTTCCACGTAATGCTCTGTCCGTTCCTCTCTCCTCCCCATACGCTCTTACATGATCGCATCGACCCTTCACGTATCTTTGTCCGTGTTACGCCTCTTTCCTTCTTCCACATACACCGCTTTTACATATCGCTTGACCCTTCCATGTATCTTCTAAGCCGTTCCCCCTCTTCTCTCCCCATAACACGCCTTTCACCATATTGCTTGACCTTCCACGCATTCTTGACCGTTCCGCGCTCTCTTCCCACATACACCCCTGCTCACATATCGCTTGACCTTTACACGTATCCTCTAAACCGTTTCCCCCTCTCTTTCCAACCATACAACCCTTTCACAATATCGCTTTGACCCGATTCCACGTATCTCTAACCGTTCCTCTCTCTTCGCGCACATACACCCTCTTACATATTCGGCTTGACCCTTCAACGTATCTTTAACCGTTGCCCATCTCTCTTCCCATACAGCCCTCTCACATATCTCTTGTACGCCTTCCAGTATCTTTTGTCAGTTCCTCTCTCTTTCCATAGCCCGGCCTCTCACATAATCGCTTGACCCTTCCACGACATCTCTGACGCTCCCGTTTTTCGTCTCGCATCTTACAGGACTGCTGTGTCCTTCGCGCTGGCGGCTTCTTCGCAGCTCATTACTGGCTGCCTACTTTTCCAATGCTCGGACGCGACTGAAGGCCAGGTATGCGATCAAGTATCTTCAGACAGCTGCGTTCGACAGCCGGCGTCCGTACCACGGCACCGCCTCCAACACGCTCAACAACCTGCGCAAGACATTCCGCTACGGCGGACGCAAGAACGTGCCGAGCGCAGACGAAGTGATCAACGTGACGGTATGTGGCGCCCTCGATCGGTTCCGTTTGTAAATTATCATTTCTGTGTGGATTTAAGAATGGTGATGTTTTTTTTGGTGAAGTTTTGAAGTGAAGTTAATGCGAAACGAGTCCATCGAAAGATTTCTGCACTGGGGGCCAGCAGGTTGTTACTGTTGTTATTACTGTTTGTTGTTGTTGTTGTTGTTGTTGTTGTGTTTGTTGTTGTTGTTGTTTGTGGTGTTTGTTGTTGTTGTTGTTGGTGATTATGACGATAATGATGATGATGATGATGATGATGATGATGATGATGATGATGATGATGATGATATGATGATGTTGATGATGATGATGATGATGACGAAAATAACTGTGATGGTGGTGATGACGATGATTGGCTGTGATTGCAGCTCGGCCGCAATGCTAAGCGACAGATCTACATAATTCCTGGTGGAACAGAGAAGATTGTGAACATCAAGAGCAGTACGGTAAGTCTACTACGAAACACAATATTCAATGTTCTACAAAACAACGTTACCATTTCCAACTTGCAGTTTCTGCCATAGAAACAGGGGGGTGTACAGGGGGGGGGGGGCCCGGGGGGTCCGGCCCCCCCCCCCTGCTCGCGCAGAAAACGCATCTAAGGGGGTCTAATTTCAAAAAATTAGCCACCCAGACCCCCCCTTCGCGTGCTCGTAAGTTTGGGTTACGGTTAGACCCCCCCTTGGTACAAATCCTGTACACGCCCCTGAGAAATGATATACTAGTTAGACTATTATCTCTAGTATATTAGCTATTATTATTATTTAGTTATTTATTATACTCTAGTTAGTGTCTCTATACATATCTATGGTTTCGGCCATCGCTCGGCTAACGGTCGCCTCAGATTCAATAAGGCAGTTCATACAATATGAATTTAATATTTCAGTTACGTTTCACTAATGACAAATAATTAACAGCATGCATTAATAGTTCTACGAATAACGTGTCAGTGATTATGCTTTCGAATTAGTTTTTCGAATTATTTATCGAACCGGAAGTCTGATGACGTAACGAATAAACGTGTTCAATATCGTCTGATTCGTGACGTCAGGTGGTCGATGAGGTCATCGAGGACATCTGTGAGACGATGAACTTGACAAGGAGCCCCCTGGCGGATGAATTCTCGCTCTACTATGTGCTTCCAGCAGGTATGTGTAAACTACCAGGTTCATCTAGACACTGGTTTCCTGCAGCAATTGCACGGACCCTGTGTTATTAGAAATTGCCAAAAATCCGGAGACTCCCCTCCAACTCTTCCTACCCCCTCTCTCGCTCTCGCTCTCGCTCTCTCTCTCTCTC